TTGCTCCTTCTCTGCGGGCGTCAGATCAGCAAAGACCAGGCTCTGGCCGTCATCGGTGTCCTCCTGCTGCAGGGGCTGGTGCTGGCAGGTGCTGGGGGCCCTTCCTCTGGTCAGCAACACACAGACTAAGGCAAATATCGTGGCTAAAGCCAGAACGAGGAGGATGAGCACAGTTTTCACATGCATGTCTGCTGAGGCATGGAGAGCTCCCACCGTCTGGCAGGGCGGGTTTCCAGCTGTAGAATCCTCCCAGCGACCCGCTGACAGAAGGGGCTGGGTTTGGTTGGATGTGTTTTTTCCCCTCGTTTCCTCAGCAGGGAACATCCCAGAGGAACTTGCAGGGAGGGAGCAGGGAGATGTTCTCAGACATGCCTGGGATTTGCCGGGAACCATAAAAGGCAACTTTGCTCTGCTTTCCCCAGTGGGTCATAATTTTAAGACAACTTAATGCTTTTGCATCTGTCCTTCCTCTCTTGTCCCACGTGCTATGCTGCAGACCTTAGAGAGGACAGATCCAGTCACTTGGGGGTAATAAATGCTCCCTCCACCTCCTTCTCTTAACCCTGTAGATGCAAACAGCTAGGCAGGCAGCAGAGACCACAAGGATGAGAAGTCCTCTGTATAGAGCACTGCTGAGCACAGCACCATGGCCTCATCCTGCCACAGCCTTGCCATCACCAGCAATGCCTCTACAGCCTGTGCAGAGAAATGGCAGCATCGCATGCTGCTGATAATGACCCCACACGTGAGAAGGCACTGGTCCTGCAGCCAGGAGGGAGGGGACAGCTGTTTGTCACCACCTCAAAGGTGCCTCCTGATCCTGGGCTATGTCCTGGCATAGACAGGGCTGCAAAGAGGGGGATGAGGGCTCCAGAGCCCACCAAGCATCTTGGCAAACGGGCAGCCACACCGCTCCCGCGCCCTGGCTCGAGCCTGGAGGAGGGCTCTCGCGTGAACCTGGCCAGCACTGGGCTGCGACAGGCTGAGTTGGCCCACACGCTGCCCCAGGGGCTGAGGTTCAGCTGGTTTGCACAGAGGCGCCTGTGGTGACGGTGCTGGCGCAGGGACAGTGAGACCCCTCCCTGCATAGTCCCCTCCATCCCCCTCACCTGCACCCAGCAGCAAGTGCCCGAGAGCTGCAGCCCAAGTGGGTCCTGCCTCTGTCCCCAGACTCACCTCAAGCACTCACAGAGCTCAGCACCAGCACCTGCTTCGGTTTTCCCCCGCAGAGCCCCGGGACTCCCCAGCCTGTCCCTCCGGCTGGACTGTCCCTGTGCCTAGACGGGTGCCCAGAGCCTTGCTGCTGGGCTGGTTTGTGGATGCAGGAAACAGCAGAGACCAAGCGTCATGCCCGCTGCAGACACTGCTGTAAGGCGTAAGAACGAGACACTCGGAGAGCACTGGACCAGAATAATTTTCATTTTTTTTTTAACCTGAGATAGGCACTACACAGCACTTGCTTCTACAGCAGAGGAACAGGATTTTCTCATCACTTTCCTCCTGCAACAGACTCAAATTCAGCAATTAACAGAGATAATGTACTCCTGTCCGGCAATCATGCCAGGAAGATTATGCTTCCCTTTTAAAGAGCACTATTTAAAAAGCAATGATAAAAAGTGAAGTCATTGCACAACTGGAAATTGAGACAACTTCACTAAGAAACTGAAAATCTGAGACAGAACAGTCAACCTGGTGCCTCTGATGGTGTCTCCTAACACTGTCCTGTAGCATTACAGCCTACTCATATTTTGGAAACCATCATAGGTGAACGGGGGGAAGTTTGGCAGACAAGAGGCAGTTTTGGGAAGGCATGCAATAGGGTTGATTTCACACGCTGTGAAGTCCTGCTCGCTGGTGAAAAACACGCCATCGTGCGAGTATATGGAGGGGTCCAGGTCATAGTAGTTGTAGGGTCTCAGGAGGAAGCCGACCGAGTTTCCCACCGTCACAGTGTTGGGAATATCCTCAGAGTGTGGGATGTGAAGGAAACCAGCGGTTATCCAGGCAACCAGGTCCTAGGCAGGGAAGAGCCACAAGACCATGGTTATTTCAGAAGCCTGCAGCAGCAGCAACCAAAATCTGTGCGGGGGCCATGGAAGGCTACAGGAGAGCAGGAGGGGACCTCCACGGGCATGAACCCGGCCGTGTTCCCACATGCCGAGCTCCCCCTTCCTGGGAAAGATCCCCTCCCTTCCCCAAAGACGTGCCCGCAGCCCCAGCTGCAGATGTCCACCCAGCAGAAGGGCGCGTGCCCTGACCCCCGCGTCCAAGCTCCGGCCTTGCAGATATTTTCCTGACATTTTGCCAGCATTTCTCCACAGGGAGCAATGAGCTTCTGCTCTGCACTCCGATCTATGTGCTCTGACTAAAGCACCAAGCAGGTACAGAGAAAAGAGGATGCTCAAGGCTACTTTCCCCATTGCCCAGGGCTGCTGAGCTCCCAGCTGAGCCCACTGTCCTGCAGGTGATGCCGGCAGCAGCTCTGGGACTCCTGCTCAGCTCGGGGATGGCTATTACAGCTCCAGCCCAGGGGACCCTGGCCCACCTCGTTAGTGATGGTCTCGTTGTTGATGAAGTCAGCAAAGGCGACGGTGGGTGTCCAGGGGTCGTTCTGGTTGTAGATGCTGGTGCTGGTGGGCTCCTCCTCCTTCCGTCGGGTGACGGCCAGCTGGTACCTGAGGACAAGAAAAAGAGATGGGAGCCGCTCCCTGGGGCAGGGCAGAGCTAAAAACCAGCTCCCCAAGGAATCTGCCGAGCACAAGCCTGCTCCTACAGAGTAACCCCAGCCCAGGAGAGCATCTGCCCTGTGCCTCCCCGTCAAGAAACATCCATGCAATGTCTCCCCAGCCAGCGAGGCTGGGACATCTCTGAGAACCTGCCATCCCAGTCAGAGCAGCCTGACCTTGCCCAACTGACGGCTCTCTCCATGGAGCTGGCTTCAGGGATATGGTCCCCCGCAAAACTGGTGATCTGGATCCTGTAACCACGCTGGTGGCCCCACTTGTTTTTGCTGTTGGCTGCAAAGTAGATGTATCTGGGGATCTTCGACTGGAGCCGGAAGGCAGCCTGGTCCTCCGTGTCCAGGACTTTCTTGGTGAGTCGTGGCCTCTCTATCTGCTGCTCTGGGCTCCAGGGAGCCCGTGTCATCTCAAACGCCATGTCGTGGGCTACCAGGGAATTTTTCACCCCTGCAAAGCAAAAGCAAAGTTGCTGAGGAGCATCCCCGCAGTCCCCTGTTCCCCACAGACGTCACTGCAGCCAGAGCTCGATCTCCCCGTCCTCTCTTCCTGCACCCTGGGCTCCGAGCACTGGCTTCTGCCCTGAGAGCAGTTACTGCTCTGCAGCTCCACAGCAGCACGACTGTACATTGTGTACATTTATCCATGGCTGTGCAACTGTACATTTGTCTGACCCAGGCAACACCACGCTGTGGCAGACACCACCATCCACGGCAACTCTCGCCGTCTGCGAGGGACAAGAGCAGAGCCTCACCCCAGTGCAGAAGAACAGGTCTGCTTCCCAGTGCAAGCACAGTCTAATTATCTCAAGTGCCTGATGGCCCAGGCACTGTGTTTGCTCTCATCAGCACGTCCTGTGAGCTGGAAAGCACTAGGAAGGGCCCAGGTTCTGAGCACATCTGCACATCGCAGAACTGGAGCAGTGATGCGCAGTTCAAGTCTCTCCACAAAATGTCGTGAGCCAGAGGCTCAGAGCAACAGGAGGGGCACAAGAGCAAATAAATCCAGGGACAAGACTGTAAAAAGCTGAGCCAGTGCTCGGTCCCCAGTGCCCGTCCCAGCTGGAGTGCATGGTGTGACGCGCTCCCGTGCCCCGCTCCCCTCGGCCTCACGTTAGTTTCCAGCTTGCGCAAAGGCTGTTTCAGAGCTGAACCTCTGGCCATCCTGGAAGGTTTGAGCAGCACCTTGGGCCTGAGCCCCAGCGCTGCCATCAAGGTCAGCACCAGAGCCAGAGCCCCATGGGAGAGGATCCACATCCAGCAACTGCCACCATGCTCATTTTCTTCCCTTTTCTGATGTGAACAAAACTTGGTACCCCACACCTCCCCTTCCAGCGACAGCAGTGACGCTCTGACTTTATCTGCCTTTTCCCCATTCTTGCAGTTTTGCAATCCCCCATTTTTAAGTACTCAAAACTCATCCTAAAAACACATGGAACAGTCTTTAAAATTGTGTTTCCCAATTAAAAGGAAATCACGATATTTTTAATATATGGCAGGAGCATGCAGCAAATGCAATTTCAGCAGAGGGTAGAGGAAGACCTAGAAAACTGCAGCCGATGCTCCTGTTGCTGCTGTGAGCAAAGGATCCCTTATACACTTGGCAAAACACGGCACAGCCCTAAGCTTAGGGCTGGCCACCAGCCCAGCACCTGCCTGCTGTGCCCACAGCCCTAACAGAGAGGGCAGCTGCCTGTCCCGCTCGCACATGACCAGCAGGAACAACTCAACAAAGCTGCAGGACATAGGAATGTGAGCTGGAAGCCACATCCCAACAAGCCAGCTTGATCGACTCCAGCTATCCAGCTATCCCAAGTTCTGCAGAGCCCCAAAGGTATCGAGGCCAATGGGGCAGGGGCAGGACCCCTTCCCACTAGGAGCAGGGGCTGGGCACAGGACGGTGCTGGTGTTACCCAGCCCAGGAAGCCGCTGCACTGCACAGCACTTGGGGGTAACTGCACGGAACAGAGGGGGAACGTCTCGTTCTACAACAGCAGCTTTTCACTGTTCTAAAAAAAGAAGGGAGGCAGCTCTGTGTCAGCACACCATCCTACGCCACGTGCGGAAAGAAAAAACTGTATAAGGACCAAAAAATGTCAAGATTTGGGAGTCTAAAAGTACTCATAGAGGGCACAAAGGAGAGACAACACCCAGACCTACCTCCCACATCCAAGTCCAGTTTATAGTTGATGGAATGGGTACGTATCGTACCCAGCGTGTGCTCCCAAAGCCTATTGCCGTATCTCAGACCATCCCCGTGGAGAAAGGATGAGCTTGCATACCCCGTGGCCTGGACCTTGCCTTCAATGGCCCCGTTCTGATAGAAGATGAAGTCCCACACGTAGTCGTGGTTGCCAACGGTCGCAAGGGACCGAACAACCAGAGCGGAGTTGACCAGCCCCCCATAGTAGAGAGACTGCAAGTTGGAGTAGTGGCGCCTCAGAGGGGAGCCCAGGTTCTGCTCAAATATGCAGAGGGAAGCTTTTCTCTTGCTGGGGCTAAGGGTCTCGGACAGGGAGTGTGTGTCGACATAGTTGGCCGAGTACGGGCAGTCGACCCCTCGCACCAAGGGGGAGGTGTAGCGCCCGATGCCAAAGCTCCCATCCATGTACCTCGTTGACATCCCTCCAGGGCAGTTGGAGCCATACACTGACAACGCCTCTTGGATGCTGATTTCATAGGCAACCCTCTCCCCCTTGTGTCGAACGTCAAACAGGCGCAGGCCCGTGTTCACACTCATCCCAAAGGCAAAGCTCCAGGCCTGGAAGAGGACGTGGTTGTTCCTGATGCTGTAGCGGGGACCCTGGGGCTCGTACTGCAAAGGGAACAGCGCAGACGAAGGCGCCCGGGGCCTCATGGACGAGAAGTCCCCATCCCGCGGCGCCTTCCTCACCTTCTCCACGC